CGGCACATAGCCACCAACCTCAAAGTGGGAGAGAGAGGAGTTCTCGGGTGCTCTTCTCTTCCATTGACCAGTATTTTGGCCAGCTGCTGGCTCGGGGTCTGGGAGGGAGTGTGCCAGGCGGCCCGGCACCGGGCAGCTGTGCTGCTGCCTGCCGTGCGGGCTGCCACTGTGGCGCTGGGCTCCGCCCCTCCGCCCCTCCCAGGCCGCGGTCCTACGTGTGCTCCGCGTGCTTTTCAGAGCAGCGCGTGAGCTGTGAGGGCCTCGCAGAAAGCGCTCGCGGAGCAGGTGTAAGGTTGCGGGCACGTGGGAGCGCGAGCAAGCTCAGGCGACGCAGTCTCGTGGCGGTGCGTGGCGGTGCGCTTCTCCGCTGGGCTGAGAGAGCAGAAGGGGCGACGTATTGCCCACGGGCTCCAGCCACAGCGGGAACAGAGCAGTGCAGAAGGTCACAGGTCTGGGCCAAAGGACTGAAAGGAACTGTTCTGGTACAAGGAAGGGGGTGCGGATCACAGCGCGCAGGCCAGGGCTGCTCCCAGCACCCCGGGCCGGCGGCTTTCCACACGGGCGCCTGCAAGGGTTTGCTCGGCGCTCTGCCTCCGCCTTCTGCCTTTGCACTTCAGCCAGCGCCTTTGCTTCCACCTCCACTGGGCTGCCATGGCACAGGAGCTTCTAGAAGATGGCGCTAAGCCCGAGCCGACTCCGCCATGGTCTCTGCTTTTGACGAACTCACAGCCCAGGGCGTGTGGACAGTAAATATTATTCTGCCGAATCAGGGCCTGAACGGCATTTTGGGCTCATCAGAGAGACTCTGGAGGATGCTCTTCTGTCACGGGTCGCCATGAGCCTGATTGGGAGCCAGAGTGACAGATAATGGCTTCTAACTGCCTTAAAAGACTCTACTTCGAACAGCTTGAGGTTCACAGCCCACAGCAGCGGCAGACACACAGTTGCCATGGGCCCCGCTCCCGTCCCTGCCTCCGCCACCAATTACCCCGCAGGGAGCGGGGCGTGTTGTGAGCCCTGGAGCCATCACGGCGGACTTGTGGGTGGCGTCCGCGCTGCAGGTGTGGACACGCGTTCTGTGCTGTGTGTCCACCCTCGAGGTGTCTTACGGAGTAGTGTTACTGCCCTGAAAATCCTCTGCGCTCCCCTACTCACGCTCCCCCCACCTCCAGTCCTGGCCACCATCCCTTTCACGGTCTCTGTGGTTCTGCTTTTCCGGGCGTCATGGGGCTGGAGCCACGCCCACGTGTCTCTCCAGACTGGCCTCTCAGCAACACACATGTCGGTTCCTCCATGTCCTTCCTGCTGGCTGGCTGCTGCTTTGACGAACACCTCCCGGCCCCCGCCCATCCGCCCGCCAAGGGCCGCCCCGTGGCTTCCCGCATCTGCGGCTATGAACGAGGCACTGTGAGCCAGCGTGCACCTTTGTGTGTGGACAAGAGTCCTCAGCTCCGTGGGGCGGATACCACGGAGCAGGATTGCCGAAGCTTTTCATTCGGGAAGATGCCAATCTCGTGTTTTCCTGGTGGGGGTGGGTAATTAGAGGGTTCCTGTGAAGACAAGTTGGGGAATGATAGAGCCAGATACCAAATCTTGGAAGAGTCCCATGACAGGAAATGTGAAAACAGTGGAAAATGACGAAAGGACCCTTTGGAAAAACTGGCCCCGTGACCCGGTGTCTAACAACCACTGGAACGGCCTACCCGCTGAAGAGAAAGTGGCCTCCGACCGAGCCCTCTCCCGCCTGCCTGCCAGCGGCCTGCCCGCCGCCCTCCCTGAGGGCTGGCGCGGGCACCCATCAGGCCCAGGTTAATGGTAGGGCCTGCCGCATTAATTAAGGGAGAACAATAGCCACAGTCACCTAGGCACCTGCTTTAATAAGCGGCTGCCTGCTGCCTGCTGAGCTGACTGGTGAGCGCAGGAGCGAGGCGACCGGGCAGCTGCAGATTCCTCCAGATTTCCGCCGGCCGAGATGAGAAGCGGGGCGCTGCGCCTGGTCAGGGGCGCGGGGCTGTGGGGCTCGGCGGCAGGCCAGCTCTGCTCCCTGGTGGCGCTCTGCCTCCCTCAGTGGCTGACTCTGTCCTCGGGGCTCCTGGAGAGCGAAAGGTACTTTGTGGGCCTGTGGCAAAGCTGCGTGGCTCAGGCCACAGGGCGCAGCGTGTGCCAGGCCTCCTCAGGCCACGGGGGCCTGGCGGCCGACCTGCTGGTCGCTCGCGTCCTCATGTGCGTGGCCTGCGCCGCGGGCTCTCTGGGGCTGGTGGCCGTCCTCCTGGGAGCGGCCTGGCCCAGGGACAGGGCCCACCTGGGAAGTCGCCTGGAGAGAGGCGCCGACGCTGCCGGGGGTGCTCTGCTCTGCCTGGCTGGACTGGCCACCTTAGTGCCCGTGTGCTACATGGCCCGCGTCACCCTGCAGAGGTTCTGGGGCCCCGAGTCCCCCACCAACACGCCCCGCTGGGAGTTCGGCGACGCCATGTTCAGCGGCTGGGTGGGCGGCTTCTTCCTTGTGACCGGAGGCCTTCTGCTGATCGTGTCCCAGCTTTGTGCCCACAGGTTGGCCAAACACCCGACTTCCTCTCCTCCAAAACTGGACTTTTCGAGAGCAGTGTCGTTCCGGAAAGTAGACTTTGTTTAAAAGCCGCACCTGGATCGAGCCTGGTCACGAATGTCGCCAGCACAGGACGTGTCTCCTCGCCTTCCAGAAATGACCCTCTCTCCTCTCTTGCCCTGCTGTGGTGCTTGGCTTGGCCTCCCGAAAGTGCGCTTGCCCGCCGCACGGGCGACAGCGGGTGGGTGCCTGAAACGGCCCAGGTGCTCTGTCATGAAGGTGGGGGTTCCCCCCCCACCCCAGCGCCAGTCTGCCACAGCTCTGGTTTTGCATGGGTAATGCTGTCTTTTCTAGAAAATTTCTATAAAAGGAGTCATGACTCTAGGCTTTTCTAGGATTTTCTATCTAATCATGTTGCAAGTGAAAAAAATTTAATTTTGTTTCTCTCTAGTTCTTCTTAGAGTATTTCGCCCTCTTTCTATTTTGTAGCATCTAAACTCATTTAAGATTTAAAGTCAATCGGTGACTCAACTAGGACATCACAGCTTCTCCTGGCTGGCATGTTGCATGTGGACTCCAGAACAGACATCTAAAAGCTCTAATCTGTGTCGGCTTAGACTTACCCAAGTGCTGACCGAGTTTCTGTCATTGTTTCTGGAAAGCAACTCCTTCATTCTGGGTCCAGTTAACTTTCTTTCCACATGGTCTCCTTTCATAAATTCTTTATCTGAAAATGTCTGCGTTTGGTTCTCATTCTTGAATGATGGGTTAATAGATAAAGAATTATCAGTTGGCCAGTACTTTTTTCATACTTTGAAGTTACTGTTTTATTGTTTCTCTTGTATTAAAGATTTATTTATTTGTGCACACAGAACTGGGGTACAGACCAGAGGTGGGGGGGGTGAGAGGACTCACCAGAGACAGAGTGGGGAGCAGGACAGGCAGAGGGACTGACACCCACTGCTGAGGGGAGCAGCGGGTGGGTCAGGGGAGGTCTGCTGCGCCCTGGGGGTCACCCCCCTGGCGGGGACCTGTGGACAGTCTGCTTTGACCCTTTGTGCCACCAGGGAGGGCCCTGTTTTATTGTTTTCCAATCTTTGTTTAGAATCTGGGGTTTGTTTGGTCTATAGCTCTTTATCATTAAATCCTGCCTTCTCTCTGGTTTCGGGCTTTTCTTTGTATGAGAAATTCCTGCATTTTCACTGTATGCTGAGGGGTAAATCTATTTGTAATTATCACACTCAAGGCCCAAAGTATCTCTCAGCCTGAAGACGCTCAAACTCGCCCCCAAAGTACTGCTCCTCCCACATCAGCCCCTGTGCCGCCCGAAGGCCCACACAGGGGCCTCCCCCACGCCTCTCCAGCGTTTCTGGGCAGCGCCTTCTGGCTTGTCCTTCCATTTTCCCTGTTCGCTCTTCAGCTCTACCCCCCAGCTACCTAATCTACTGCAGAGCTTTATACTTCTGAAATTCTATTCTTTTTAAAAGATGTATTTATTTATGTAAGGAAAACCTGGGGGTACAGGCCAGCGGTGCGGAGAGTGAGGGGACTCCCCAGAGGCAGTGGGGAGCAGAACAGACAGGTCTACTGACAACCACCGCTGAGAGGAGTGGGGAGACAGGAGAGGACTGCTGTGCCCTGGGGTCACTCCCTGGCGGGGATCAGACTCAGGCTTTGGAGGTGATAGAGCTGAGATTTAACCCCTGTGTCACCAGGAAGCCCCCGAAATTCTATTTCTCACTCACGCTGCCAAATATCCCCTGGGGAGGGACAGGCTCCGCGCAGGGGCATCCCCAGTGGGGCCCTAGTTACAGGCGCCCCCAGAGACCCAGACAAGTGGGTGCTATGGTCTGTCGAGCCAACGTAGATTTGCTTGATGATGCGTTGTTCTCAAAATCCTCCCGATGCGTCTGGCGTCCACTAGCCAGTGATTGGCTCTCGCCAGTGACTCTCAACGGAGAGTAACTCTGGACGCCCAGAGGACACTTGGAAATGTCTGGAGCCATGCCCGGGCCTCAGCTGGAGGGGGAGCAGTACTACTGGCTCCTTGTGGGGAAAGGCCCAGACGCCACTGAACACCCTGCAGTGCATGGGACCGCCCGGGGCCTGCCCTGCAGACCACACCCCACACGCACAGCGCGGCGGACCCTCCCAGTGGCGACCGCTCAATTCAAATGCCCTACAGGAGCGCTGAGCTCTGGCCAGGGCTGTTTTCCGGGGCACACAGGCAGCTTACCCATGACCTCTGGCCCAGCTGGAGTCGGCTGCGTTCAAGGACGCCGCCTGCGTGCGGGCCTACACGGCTGCCCGCCTGCGGCCTGGGGCGGTGTTCTGCTGGGCGCGCACGCTCACGCTTCCACAGAGAGGCTTGCACAGCTGAGCAGAAGAGGGGAAAATAAGTCTCAGACACCCCTGCAACACACAGTATGCTTTATTTTAAGCGAGGGGGAGATGACTATTGTGTGGGCGTGGGGTTTCCTTCCAGACAGCCAGCCCCGAAGGCGGGCGCCTCTCTGGGCAGCTGCTTGGGCACTGCCTCCAGAGGTCTCACTTGAGCCGTCTGTTTGACGTAACAGAATTCAGAGAGGAACAAGCTGGCGCTGACCAGAGAGATGCTTCCGGTCGTGATGCCCAGGGGCAGCGTGTAGGAAAAGTGTCTCTTCACGATCATTTCTGTACGAACGGGGAAGTGGCGCGGGAACTGCAGGGTGCTCTGGCCGTAGGTGTCCACGGAGAAGTTCCAGATCACAGAGCTCACGGTGGAAGCGCAGCTCACGAGAAGGAAGCAGGCTGAGAGCTTGTAGTAGGTGCGGAGGAACTCTGCGTACTGGCTGTTGACCCAGTTGATGAGCAGCGCCAGGGAGCCGAACACCAGCACCACGGACTTCATCGTGTTGGCCAGCAAGATCATGTCCTGTCCGTAGCGGATCTCCTCCGGAATGACCCAGCTCTGGTTGATCTTGGCGTGAACCGGCAACTCAATCAGGGAGCCAGAGATATTAAATGTCTGGAAATACGACGCTTCCCAAAGCCCTATGAACACCATGGAAATGGAGCTGCCTTTAAACTCCCACATGCGCCAGGACTGGCTGCGGGCCAGGATGATGCCCAGCGCCCAGGCCGCGTAGCTGAAAAAGACGCCTGTCACTTTGCAGATGAAGGGCTTCATCTCAGCGGGTGGGCTGCAGGCCGCAGGGTGAGGGGTCCAGGCAGCAGCGTCAAAGAGAAAAAAGAAGCACAGTGAGCCAGGGAGAAGTGGTCTCGAGAGAGGCGCTCTGGCCTGGGCCTCCCGCGCCCCTGGGTCTCCCGCTCCCCTCTCCCGGAGCTGTCTGAAGCAGCTCCCTGTGCCAGCCCTAGGCAGTGTGAGTGACTTCGAAGGCAGCCTGACCTCGCAGGAAACAGATCATTCGCTCTACACATAGGCAAATAGATGCGCACTTGTTGGCGAGTTGAGAGCCCAGGGAGAAGCAGGCGACTGTTATTCTAACTTGCTATTTCCTGCAATTTCCATTTTTTATACTAAACAAACTTTTGGAATGCGAAAGGCCAGCGGGAGCTTGACCACCTACCGTGGCGGCCGAGGTCCTGCCTGGACGCCCTCTTTACCGGACTTGCAGTAACCGCCAGCCTGAGATGCTGGCTGCAGGTGCAACGGGAAACTGCCCTGACGTATTTTGCACGGAGCAAATCCTTTCTCTGAAGCAGCATGTAGCTTGCCTCTGAGCGACCGGGGGAAGTGGAGGGCAGAAGTCAGTGGCGCCCAGGGCGTGCCCGCGGCGGGAAGGGGGCACAGTGTAGGGAACACCCCAGCCCACCTGGGGCATTTTGGGGGCCTCCACACCAGGCTGTGAGGCCTGATTTCTGCACCGCTGTACCCACGGCTCCACAGTCTTCTGGGCAATTTTTCTGACGAAGTTTTAATGTGGTTCCTTAACCATGGGCCTACGTTCTGGGGGAGGTCCGCAGGCGAGTTCGGGGTCCAGCCGTGGCATGGAGACTACTTTCCACACCTGGAAGCTTCCGCCTGCTGGGCACAGCCTGTGCGTGCATCCCTGATGGGCTGGAAGCTTCTGTAGCACACGACTATTCTCGGGCGCTTCCTGCAGCAGGATAGGCTTGACTGTCCCGCTCCAGGAATGACACTTCTTTGCCCAGGGAGGTCCGAGGCCGGGGCCACAGGACCAGTGTGTGGTGAGGGAGCAGGGTCAGGAAGGAGACCGGGGCCGGTTGCAGAAAGCAAGGTGGGGGCTTGCGGTGGGGCAGGGACATGTTTCTCCTGAAGGCCAGGTTTGGACGCCTCCATCTGTCCTGCTAAGGCTTTGACCTCTGGGGCAGGTGGTCCGACTCCAGACTGCAGGAGGCCGGAGGGGGCCAAGGTACCTCAGAGCAGCAGGAATTGTTGACTAGGAAAGAGAAGTTCCGGCAATGTTAAAGGATCCACCAGAGTGATGAAGCCTCCCTAAAGGAGGGGTGCTTAGGTGGAGGCGGGGCTCTGGAGAAAGCGCAACACAACACACGCCAGCAGCTCGTCACCCCTTAATCACGCGTGTGTCGGAGCTTTGCACGGCCGGGCCTGGCACTGCCGCCTCACCACTCAGTCCTCTGCCAGCGCCTTCCCCACCTGGCGCTTTTTGATTCTTGCCTCCTGCCACAGGCCGTAGGGCCCTCCGGCCCTGGCTAAGCTGGAAGGCCATATTTGGGGGAGAAAGGAGGAAGGAAAGCCGCCCCCGCCTGAGAAATAGGCCTGTGTGCGCCGGCAGGAAGCGCATGGGATACTCTGCGGAACCTGCGAACAACAGCTTTCCCGACAGGCCCCTCAAAAGGCCCCAGGCTCCGATTGCCCTTTTCTCCCGGCACCCTGCTCTCCCAAAGTGGACCCTGCCGGAGCAAGGCCCTCGCCACCCGTGTCCGAGTCTGGACAGTCGCTGGCCAGCGCTCCGGAGGCACTGAAGGCAGAGGGGCCGGGACACCTTCCCAGCCCCAGCCGAGGCCGCCGCGGGGGCACCAGGTGGCAGGCAAGCAACTGCGCCTGTGCCAGCTGCCCAGGGCCCCACGCCGCTCGGAGAGCGCATCCGAGGGAGCCTTCCTCGGAAACACGGCTCCTCAAAGCTTCTGATTTTTCAGTGACCGTCGTTTTTCTCGCCCAGAATCACACGGATGCTCTCCCACAGCCCTGTGTGTGAGGTTGGCCTGGATTAGACCCTCTAGAGGGAAAGATGCTGCTGGGAGAAACGCGATGGCTGCCCAGGCTCCGTCCTACCCGACCGTCTGTGGTTGCTGGGGAACAGGGCCATCGGTCCAGGGCCGGCCTGAAGGTCTGCATGGCCTCGGAGGCATCATCTGGCTCCCTTTGAAGATGAGCATAGGAAGCCAGGAGCTGTTGAGCTAAAGGCCAAGGGTGTGGTTTTCTCCCGGCTCCCTAAGTTTGAGAACTAAGGCTATGATGCAGCAGGGAAGGGCGTTTTCGAAGGAATGCCAGTAAATTGTACAAAGTCGCGAGCCAGCAACGCCACTCATGAGATCTACCCAAAGGCCATGGAAACGCCAGCACAAGGCTCAGAGCAGGGCTCAGGGCAGCACTGTGCACAGTAGCCAGGGCTGGAAGCAGCCTAATGCCCACCGGGGGAGACTGGGTCAAGAAGCGTCCTGTCCACCCCTGTGGAGTACTACGCAGCCGTAACAAAGGGTGAGCTGCAGCCCCTTCAACAAAACGGAGGGAGTTTGAGAGAATTATGTGCGGCAGAGTAAGTCAGGACAATAAAGCAGATACTGGACATTTACCTCGCAGATAGTCCAATAATGTAAAATGCTTTCAAAAACACCGTGAGGACTCTGAGGGTAAGAGGCTGGGGGGAGGGGCAGGGACGATGGGAAACGAATGCGAGGTGTTCTGAGCAAGTCCCCTGTCATAGGATATGTGCAAGGGATAGACAGATGACCGACAAAAGAGGAGACGTGAGTAGAGAAAATGTATAGAAGTAGAGATGAATGATAAACACTTTTGCATTGACCCTGTCTACATAAATACAAATGATTATGTGGTAACCATGTAAATAATATTGGCGACAGTCTACGCTGAGGATAAGGTAACATAACACTACACAATCTCCCTCAGAGAAGTCGAGTCTGCCACCCACAAATCAGGAGGCGAAGGCCAGTGATAAAGGGGGTGCCAGGTTTCTGGAACACAAGCTCAAATAGCTGGTGGACTGGCGTTGCCGTGGGGAGAAACGTTCAACGCTCTGCTCTCAGTGACTCACACAAATATTTTTTTTTAAAGATTTATTTATTTTGTGCATACAGAACTGGGGTACAGGCCAGAGGCTCAGGGGCGGTGAGAGGCTTCACCAGAGACAGAGTGGGGAGCAGAACAGGCAGATGATGTACACTGCTGAGGGGAGCAGCGGGCGGGTCAGGAGAGGTCTGCCACGCCATGTGGTCACCTCCGGGGCAGGCGGGAATCGAACTCATGCGCAAGCGGCTTTAGATTCTCAGTGCTGTGCTTTAACCCGCTGCGCCACCAGGGAGGGCCACACAAATATTCTTAAGGAGGCAGGTGGCGTCTGTCTCTGGCTCCTGCCTGCAGGCATAATAGGGTCCTCAGTGTGAGGCACTGAGATTAAAGTGCATCTACACACTGTTGAGCTATTAATGCCTTACCCTTTTCATTTATTTAGTTTCGCTTGAGAGCTTTTTTTTAAAAAAAAGATTCTTTTTATGCATATAGAAATGGACTACGGGGGTGGTGAGAGGACTCCCCAGAGACAGAGTGGGGAGCAGAACAGGCCGATGAACGAAGCACACTGCCGAGGGGAGCAGCGGGCGGGTCAGGAGAGGTCTGCCGCACCCTGTGGGTCACCTCCGGGGCGGGGACAGAACTGGCACTGAAGCAGCCACGGCGTGGCTCAGCCTCACAGTGCAGCGCTCCAGCCCACTGCGCTGCCAGAGAGGGCCCTCGCTTGAGAGGTTTTAACCCTGAAGGGCTGTGAGCAGCGAAGCAGCGCGAGTGGGCTGTCCTGCAGTTGTTATGTCCCCAAGCTCTGGACCGAGCATGTTCGGGAGTCAGCAATCTGAATCACGGAAGCGGTGTCTCCCTCATGAATGGCCTTAGGCATGGCTTTGGAATGTCATCAAAAAAAAGCGTCAGGGTGGCTTAAAAGTTACCCTGCGGGGGGGGGGCTCTTTGGGGGCCTGGGGGTTGAGTCTCAATGCCACCACCACTGCAGCACGAGTTCTATCCCTGGCCAGGGAAAGAGTGACCCACAGGGTGCAGCAGCCCTCTCCTGTCTCCCTGCTGCTCCCCTCAGCTGTGTGTCTCAGTGCATCTGCCCGTTCTGCTCCCCACTCTGCCTCTGGTGAGTCCTCTCACCCCCACACCTCTGGCCTGCACCCCAGCTCTTCTATACAAAAATTAAAAGAACATTTTTAGAAAAGTTACCCTGGGAGCTACTTGGACCACCTATGAAGTTTGGGGGGGAAGGCACGCCCGGTTCGTGGAGAGCATCCCATCCCCACTGGGCGGGATCCTGGCAGCATACCTAATGTGCAAGAACGAGACCGTGCTCCCAATACCAATTTTTAAAAAAAGATTTATTTATTTATGCACACAAGAGCTGGGGTACAGCCCAGAGATGCTGGCGTGAGAGGACTCCCCAGAGACAGAGTGGGAGGCAGAACAGGCGGATCCACTGAACCACACTGCTGAGGGGAGCAGCGGGAGACAGGAGGGGTCTGCTGAGCCCTGGGGGTCCCTCCCTGGCCGGGGATCGATCTCAGGCCGCAGTGGCTGCACACCGCTTCATAGCACTGAAACTGAACCCTTTGCACCACCAAGGAGGCCCCCCAATACCAATTTTTTAAAAAGATCTGAACTGCTGTTTTCATAATCACCAAAAGAGAAAAACACTCACCACCACCGCTGCACACACAACTCGAAGGCTCAGCGAGCCAGCAAATGGGCCGGAGGCCGCGAGCCCCGCCGCACCCCACAGCCTCACCCTGCAGTTACCCCAGAAGTGCAACGTGTGCTCACGCGTCCCGACTGTGAATGCTCACAGAGGCCTTCTTCATCACCGCTCCACTCCGGAAGCAAGCAGTGCAAAGAGAAGTACCGTGAAAAAGTGCTCAAAAGCAAAGGTAAACTTGGGGAAAGCGACAGGCGTGCCATGG